CTCGGCCGTCAGATATTGAAAAATCGAAATTACAGAAACTTTACAAATTATTCTGTTTTCATCACGGAATAGTTGATACCAACATATCTCTTATTCCATTTCAGTATAGTTTTGAGTCCCGTTTTTTGTGTGTTATACTTCTGCAGCTGGCAACGTATAATGCAGATGTTTTTAAGCTATTGCCATTTAGGATGCGTGCTTCCAATTCGTTTTATTTGTTCAGTATTTTTTTCATGTTCAATACGGAACCCGGCGATTTATTCTACACATATGGCTATATTAAGTGTGCGGTTAATTTAATTATTGGTTTGCGACAAGATTTAATATGTTACTCGAGATTTCCTTTTACGGTTATTTTTTCAGATTAGATAAAATACAAAAATGCATTCAAAAACAGAACTATGTGAAATAATACATCTGGGATAATATCTAGTATTTACGCACCTGTGCTGAATAAGCACCATCATAACTGGTACCAAGTTCTGTAATCTGATTAATATTCTTACTTCACATGTGAGAAATAATATGATTATGTTATTCCAGATTTTCAAGCATCTGAATATTGCCTATATAGAAGTTCTGAACGGAACTTAATGCCTCGGAACCATATTTGAAAGAGAAATCTTTGAATGGTGAAACATATGACTCGCTTTAGAAGTGCTAATACAGAGCACATTTTAATGCTTCGTTTAAACTAAGGTGGTGTCATTTCCTTGTTATATTCGCTTTTAGAATATGATCTTATTGACTGCACTGATTTGTCCGATGCTGCACGGGTGCAGCTGTACGATTGTCCTAATAGAAATGGCCTGAAGATGTTCAGAAAGCGCTAACCGTTAGTATTTTGGTCTTTCATTAATTTAGTTTATACAGTCACAAAATATGTTGAGGGAGGGGGAGAGCATAATATTTGCCATTCACCAGTTTCTACCTTATCGTCGTTACCACTAATTTGACAGTCATATTACTTTATAGTTAGATACAAAACGTTAATTATTATAATGTATTTCAACAAAGGAGCTTTATTCAAGTATCCATGACCTTCTAATAACATTTCATAATTTTAGTGACCTAGATTTTAAGCCCTACCTCGAATGCATTTCCGACAACCGACAGTGATACTGGACTTTGTTACTAACATAGTATCCTCCTGTGGTACATATTTCTAATGTTTCAAATTCTTGTTGTGGTATTAGATTTACGATTTGATATCTACAGGAGCTATTAATGTGTTAAATGGACTAGGGATTTGTGATTACAAATACATCCTTAATAATGCTATTGTACAATGAAACATAAATCAGCCTACGCAGAGAAGACAATATATACATATACTATAATCACCAACATAGGGCCTACATTATCAGTAGGTCTATAAAATTCATTCATCACTGTGAGCCCTAGATATACCTAAATGAATTACAGCATAGTCATAGTCGATGTTCGCAATAGTACACATTTATAAACACTGTAGAAGTAAGACACAGTGGAAGAGCAACTAAAAGTTGCTAACATTATATAACAGGGATGAAGTAATATTGTGGTTAGGACACTGGACCCACAACTAGAATCTTCCTGATTTGAATCGTGGCGTTAATCGTGAAGATCACCTGCCAGGGGTGGGCAGGAAAAGTATATTTAAAATGATATATTATTTTGCCAAAGCTTCATATGACAACATATTCAAGGACGTCTTTGAAATGGAGTATGGCCATGTTCTTTTCATTCGTCAGTGTCCTTTAAATTATATACAAAGGCACAATAAATTATTTTAGTTATACGAACTTCACGAATAAATGAGAAATGGTATCAGATGTTAATCCATTTTTCCCAAATAAAACTGATGGGTTATTAGGTATGGTTTATAAAGTATTTATTTCTTAACTGAAATCTGCCCGGAAACCGTTCAGATAGTTACCAACAATCTGATATCTTAAAACACAAATACTGACCTAAAAATTTCCCCAGAGAGTAGGTTAAATTGATTTTAGTAACGCGCCAAATAAAAAGAGGTTTTAGTTACTGCAGGCTATGGTGTTAAGTGGTAGTTATTTTCTGTAAATGTTGTTACTTTCCATCAACCCAAACCATCGTTACCGTTACGATTTACCCATCAACATAAATCAGAAGATTTGCATGGTAATTTCCTATTTATAGGTTTCATTTCATTATCAACAGAATCGGAAGAAAACCACCGTATATGGACCGGGGGTTTTCTCCCCATAAATTTGATGGTAGCGGCAAGGCGAGTTAGCAGATTTAACTTTTCAATTGACACTGTAATTAAATCAAATGGCTCTCAATGGAGAAACCTTATTTTAGCTTGAGGTGGAAAAATCGATCAGCTAGAACCGTTTACAACTTGATGTTAAAAAAGGTATAACTTTCTTTTCTTGTGGACCATGTTCATGCTTATTATTAGAAAGCTAATGTCAGACCATTGTTCCTGCTTGATTTCTCATAATATCCCAATTTCCTATTTCTTATACCATTTTTTTACGGCAAATTATCCCTCCCATGTGACTGACATATCTTGTTCGAGATATTACGTGTTCTGAAAAAGATGCGGATTCTGACTAAAATCGCGTCATTGAAGAAAAAGTGACCTTTTAATTCCATGAAATCCTCTATAAAGGAATTGTATTACCCCATCATGCATTTCACATTGTCAGGTATGTGCCCACGTGTATCCAAGTCACTATGAATTCCGTGTGTTCCGTCGATAAAATACAACATTCTCGACAATGACTATTTTAGATATTGTGGGTATCTTTGATTTGGTTGAGAAACGAAAATTTAAATCTACTATTAAACATTTTTCCTTTCCACCGAGAAAGAGTTTGTCCCGTCACTAATCAAAAAACACATCTGATCAACACGATTCCATAATTTATTTTAAAGATAATTCTGCGTAACAAGGATTTTTCTAAAAAAAAGTTGTCATATAAACTCCCCAAATTAGCGAAGACATAAAAATGGTACGATAAATCTACCTATAGCCACAGTCCAATATGTACCCACACTCTGTTATGCTGGGTTTCTAGTGTCACGATTTATGCTGCGGTTGAAATAGTATTTTTTATTTGCTGAGTTATCGTGGTGATCCTATCAGGTCGTAGCATATATTGAGGTCAGTCGTGGCAATCGTGTTGATGGTATCGAAACGTACCAGATCGTGAACTCAAAAGGGGCAATCCTATCGCAACCCATCGCACAACAGGTGGAACCTAGCATAAATAATTAAAACGAAACAATAAAAGAACACACATTAAACAAAGTAAAACAAAATTAAATGTATGTAACCATGATTTAAATATTTATCTTTCAATGCTTTAAGAATGAGTACATTCGTGCATGGGTATGCAGGAATGTCTGCACATTAAGAATGTCAAAGCAATTTTGATTGTTTGGCGTTTGATTTCTTCTTGCACAGAAGTATGGACAAGATATTACACGATCTTGCAGTTTTTGCAAAATATTTACTTTCGAAATACAATTTTGCCATTTTTGCTCAATGTTGACGTTATCAAAGTTATAGTGGGACTTTAAACAGGCGCCCTTTTCCCTCATTGAGAGAATAGCACGGTGAAGAAAACAGATTGCTTGTACATTATTTCTCACTACATATATTTTAAGCTGAACAAAATATGTACAAAAAATATTTCCCATTACACGTATTTTAAACTGAACAAATGATGTAACAAATATATATTTATATCACACTATATCCCAAGCACGTAAACACAATAAAGATGTTGACGGGAGCCACGGCGGTTCAATGAATGTTCACCGGGATTTTCCAGCGTGGTTTCTCCTTATCAGTCGTGCAGGAACCGGAAGGGAAGGGGCGCTCGCATTGCACGGTGTCTAGTCGTTTGGATGGGACGAACAACGCACTGGGGTATGTCCGTTTCATTATAGGTGTTGACATTCAAATACAACAAAAACAAAAAAAAAACAAAAAAAATCCGGAGCCTTTGTATAAATGAAACATGGTAGAAGACCGCTAATGATAAGGTGATAGGGTGGCCGAAAGTCTATTCGAGTGGTCGGGGTTTTCCTCAGGCGCTTTTACGTAACAAGGATTATGACCGCTTGCCTGGTGGGTTTTCTCGCGGATCTCGGATTTACACCCGCCCTCCCCTACACGCAAGCAAATCACAGAAGTAAAGATATACCTAAATGGCCCAGTATGTGCCAAGAAAACGCCCCCCCCCCAAAAACAAAAAAATCAAACCCCGCAGGTCTTTCCGTAATTTTATTTTATTTAATGGTACTTGATAGATAATACATTTATCATCTACACTCCTTTCTGTACTCGGTGACATCGTCTGGCGTTTTTCCCCCTCCATAAAAGGTTTCGTGACGTTTTTATTGTAGAAATAATGCATGCCAAAGTGTACACTTAAAAGAACAGAGAAACGAAGTCGTATGACAGTCTAGTAAATGCTAGGAGTGTATTTCGTCTGACCTCTTGGTCCCAACATGATAAATAGCGAGATACAACAGTACTACGGAAAGACAGCTTTAATTGTTATGTAATCTTTAGACATAATTTAACTGTACCTACTATATCCCAGTCCGCTTGTTGAAATTTTACCCACTTAAATTAAATATAGAAACATTCCCGTGAATTCGGAAGATGGGACTTAAACAAGCATTTCCCCTCTTACATACCTTATTGCCTCGGGATAAAAACCAGAATACGCCCTCAACTCCATATACGGTCATCTGGTATCCGCTCAAATTCACAAATTAATTAATACATTGGTCGAGATTACGAAATGGGTGGATAAAATATTGAACTTGAATATTCATATTTCCAAATAAGGGCTTATTACGTTACGTTCCCACGACAATGGGTCACTGTGAATGGAAATATTTATTTACGGAGATAACAACGCAACCACGCAAAATGGGTGCACAGGAATTTCTAGGGCATGTAACCTGAGGGGTATATAAGCCGAAACCAATTCATTCAGATCATTCCAATCTTGAATGTGATATAGAGAAGAACTTCCAGAAACATATCGAACCTTATAAAACCATAGATTCAACATATTGTTAGATAACCAATATTTTTTACAGAGACGATGATGAACTACCTTTTTACCTTAGTTGGTTTGTTTACGGTAAGTACACTTAGGTTGAATTAGATAATAAAAATAGTAAGAGCTGCTGTCTGCTGATATGTCGAAAAGACCGGTGTTAATTTATCGTTAAATGGACACTTACATTTTAAGTAAAATAAAAAAAGCAAACAAATTGGACCGCCTGGTTTATGTCAATGTCCTTACAGCTCGAGAATTTTACATTTAACACAAGCACTTTAAACATGTGTAATCGTCTAAATATTTATTACAAAGGTGTACGTCTATGTAAACTAGTTTCAGTTATGTTTGTTTGCTTATGGATTTTTATATGTTTTATTGTTTACCTTTTAGGTGGTGTTTGCCGCGCCATCAAAATTAGGTAAGTGTTTAAAAAATATATCAAATATGTATATCACGTAGTCTCAACCTAACCAATTATAATTTCGATTAATCATTATCCAAATAACTTATCTTTGAAAGAGGTAAATATTGAATCCAGTAAGAGAAATGTTTAAGATTGATTACAGATTGAGATAAATAAAAATAAAACACCCCAAAACAGCTGTATCCAGTTGTTTACACAATACATGAGAGTGGAAATGAAACTTAATTTTGTGTTTCATTTGCAGAACGAACCTGTGGCGGGAAACCAGCGGACGTCGTTTTTGTCATTGATTCTTCCAGCAGCATTTGGCCAGAAGATTTTTCACGCCATGTGCTTCCGTTTGTACGTGACGTCACCGCCATGTTTGATATTGGACCAGGGTTGACTCAATCTCGAGTCGGGGTGGTTACTTTTGGGACGAACCACTACTTACGATTCCATCTGAATACCTTCTTGGATAAAGAAACCGTATTGAAACGCATCATGGCGATTGATATGACAGGTGGAGAAACCAACACTGCCGGTGTCCTCAATTACGTCACTGATCACATGTTCACAAGTAAAAGAGGAAGTCGAATTGGCGTCGACCATATTGTCATTGTTCTTACTGATGGCGAATCCAAAAACATGGAAAAGACAAGAAAGGCAGCTGACCATGCTCACCAAAGCGGACTTCAGGTGTTTTCTATTGGTGTCGGAAGTGGAGTAGATGTAGAAGAACTAGGAGATATTGCCAGCGACCCTAAGTCTAAATTTATGTTTGAAATCACCGATTTCCGTGCACTTCAGAGAATTAAGGAAGAACTAGCTATCAGAACTTGTGAAAGTAAGTACATGTATTATATATTGTCTTGAAAATGTTTGGAATCAAATGAATATATAGTTGGTATATTTTATTAATATATTATTCAAAGTAAAGAGATTTCAGAAAGGCCCAGATTCTTTGAAATTAATTAATGTTCTGAATGTGTTGTTTTAAAATTACATTTATGTATATATATATAGAGATCTATTTATTTTTCCAGTTGCAACAACAACGACTACCACAACAACCCAAGCTCCAACAACAACAACAACACTACCACCTACAACAACCAAAGATCTATATATTGCTGATGCGCCATTATCACTAAGAAGTAAGTGTATATTGCATTTTCCTTGTGCAAATGAATCGATAATTCTTATATAAATTCTAAAACAATTCGGTTTTTTTGTTAAATTATTTTAAATGTCAACTTTATTTCAAGTCTTTTATCTCGTTAATTTACCTGTTGTTATGCTTTTCAATTAATACTTAAGTTTCATAATCTTAGCAATTAAAGGAAATACTTTTAACATTATTTGTTTTATTTTTCTAGGTTGTGGAGGAAAGCCTGCTGACGTTTACTTTATCCTTGATTCTTCATCCAGCATCTGGAAGAAAGATTACTACGAAAAAATGGTAAAATTCGTACACGATGTCTCTGATATTTTCGATATTGGTTCTGATAAAACCAGGGTTGGCGTTGTCACATTTAGTGATCAGAACACGCCTGTATTTGGCCTCAATGACTTCACCAGTCGTGAGGAACTCCTTGCCGCTATGTCTTCTGACGTTATACCGTACTTGACTGGTGGAACCAATACAGCGGCCGCCATTAAATACGTCGCGGAAATAGGATTTTCTCCCATCATTGCTCGACCTGGTGTTGCACACGTTGCCGTTATCATCACCGACGGTCAGTCTAAAGATGCCGAGGCTACACTCAGAGAAGCAGAAGCTGCCAAAAAATCAGGAATTTATATGTTTGCAATTGGCGTTGGTGATAGTGTTGACCAACAAGAACTTACAGATATGGCAAGTCAGCCCTCCAAAGACTACGTATTCAGTGTCAATAACTTTGGGGCCCTGGATACAATTAAGAACCTCCTGGCCGTGAAAACCTGCCTAGTATCTTCATCAGAGGAAATGCCAAATGATCAACAATCAAATAACGGTAAGTACTTTAATTTATGTAACCAGTATAACAAATCTGTACGTGAATGAAGTTGCATCGCTGTATTATTAAGGTACCGGTTAATTTCGCTCTTATTCATCTAATATTAGGTTCATCTCAACATACATATTTATCTTAAAATATTTATTTTAGTTTAGCTATAAAATACACACTGCTATATCATGCCCTGTCTTTGGCAGATGCACCATTCATTTATTGTCCCTGTTTTATTTATTTCAGTTTGTGAGCTCGAGCCAACAGATATTGCTTTCGGGTTCGATTCATTCGCCATGGGACAAAAACAAAGTCACCGGGTCGTCGAAATCATCACTTCTCTCACCAATCACATGACATCAAGGTCTAAAGGGTATTACCAATTCAGTGTCTTATCCAATGCTTGTTCCAGACATAAGGATGTTCCCATGACCGACATACGTCAAGCTGAAAGCGTCCTTGGAGATATGAAAGAAGACATGACCTCCCAGCTACACCAAATTATCAAGCAACTGAGACGTAACGCATACAGTCCCAGCAACAACGCACGATTAGGAGCTCAAAAAGTGGCAATTTTGGTTTTGGATGATTCTGCTGTCATAGACAAGAAACGAGTCATTGCTAATGCTAAACGTGCCAAGGCATCTGGAGTTGAGATATTTGCTGTTACTTTAAGTTCCATGGATCAGTCATTTGTTAGTGAGATTGTTTCGGACTCCGTAAAGACACATCTGATACAAGCTGAAAGGAACGAGAACGTTTTATCTATTCGTAACAAAATTATAAAACAACTATGTTAAGGTGAATATTTGCGCAGTAATCCGTCCAATTCCGGGAATAATAGATTCAAAAAATCCTTAAACGAAATGTGGATTACATTGTGTTCTCGGTATAAAATTAAACTAAACAGCGTGATATGCTCATGTTAGAAGAAACAGTTTTTATTTCGAGTTAAATTGCCATTAATCTGCCAGACAGTATTAAGTCGCACGTGTTTACTTTGTGTTCTTTTATGTAGTATTATCTTGGTTGTTTACATTACCTCAGAGAGAAAAGAACAAAAATCGACAGTCTTTGTACGAACTCTATCACTTCATTACACCTTGTTCCAACATTCGATATTCTTTTGTAATGTGCAATACGTTCTCTTTCATTAAAAACGTTTTACTTGCTGTTGTATTCAGTGAATATAACGTTAGGAGTCTCATGTAAATAGTTTATTTATATGTGTTTACTTTTATTATATTGTAAATGTCATTTTGTTTCATGCATTCTGCGTATTTCTAGTCAATATTTTTTTGTATCAAGCATATAGTTCCAATATATGTTTTGTTTTTTGGTGTTTGTCCATGTTTAATATTTTTTACATAAATTGTATAATTTTTGTTTGTTTATCAAAATGCACTTTATAATGTATAATTATTTAATATTTATCTATTTTTTTTATATATATATAGAATAATTGTTGTATTAAATGAATGCTTTGTGTGTTTGTCGTTAAAAGCGTATTGATTTAATTTATTTTTCAATAATGAAAGTCAAAATAACCCAAGCAATTAAAATGTTAAATGTTTTTTTTCTCAAATGAAATAATTTTTTATATATTGATTAAAAGTTTCTTTTTTCTTATGTTTTCACTAATTAGTAACAAAAGTTAAGTGCATGTTTATTGAACACTTCCACTTCTTTATCGGCAAGAATTATATAAGCAACTGGATTTAATAACATATTATGGAGCTGACAAACAAGTTATGGTAGGCTACACATGTACCAGGGCGAAATTATATGGTATTTTGTGATTTGGTGAAACTTTACCATCGTTCGGGACATTCCGTTTCGGAACTAAGCCCCTTTTCCGAAATTCTTGCAACCTTGTGAACGCTACAGAGGCCATATTATTTAAAACATGGGGACGAGCCGACTTGATATTCAGCATTCGGTGACCTTCAATTCCAAAGTTATCCTCCCTTTCCGAAACCATGCGAACGCGATAGAGGCTACAGTTTTTAACGGATTTATTTAATATTTGGTGTGAAGCATTGGGGTCATTTGAGCACGAACCCTATCGATATTCAGCTTTCCGCGATCTCCCTTTCTGGAATAACCCGCGCCCGTCAACAATCCTTGTCTAAACCCTTTGATAGATGATATAGTTATAACATTTTGTTTTTCAAATCTGGAGTGAAGCATTGTTGTGACGAGATGAAGAATCCTATCAATATTCAGCGTTTCGCAACCATCCGTTCCAGATTGACCCCACTTTTTCGGAAATCCTTGTGAACGTGGTCATGAGATTACGAATCCTGTTGATATTAAGCGTTTCGCGAACTTCCTTTCCGCAGTTACTCCGCTTTCATAAAACCACGTGAAGCAGATAAGATTTTTTTAAAGCATATGAACACGGCACAGATCCCATTTCTTGAAGGCATCAAATCTTTCATCATTCAATTTTTTTACGGGGCATATTTTCACGCTATGTGGGTATACATTTGCTGTGAAGTTATCGGGTCATGATTTGCAGCATTCTGCGACCATTTATGAAATTGGTGCATTCACATTGCGTCTCAACAGTATTATATCTGTTCCCCAGATAACTGTACTTGGACCTGTGTTGTTTGTACTCTACACTAATAGCCTTGGCATGCTGTTAAGCATTATTCCTACGTCAATATCACACAGATGCTTGATTATTTTGCTTCTTGTCAGGTCCTATGGTTCTTAAAGAAAACCATGACATTAAATTTGTCAGTGCCATTAAATTCTGGATGAGCTGTGAAAAACTGAAGAAACTAAATGATGACAAGACTGAGGCGTTACTTGTGGGATCTGTACAAAGGCTTCGATCTGTAACAGAGTTTAGCATCTTAATTGGAGACACCAGGATCTAGGAGTGATAACTGACTCCTCATTAACACTTAAGAACCAATATTCGTCTTCTTTTGAAGACAGAAGTTACGAAACAGGCAGTGCAACACTTGGTGCTCTCTCGATTGGAATATTACAACTCTGTCCTATCTAGATATCAGATTAACAGACTTCAGAAAATACAAAACACCGCTGCCCGGATAATTACAAAAACACCGAAGTCTGCTCACACCAAACTAGTTCTAAAGCCACTACACTGACTCCCTATTGAATACTGCGTAAATTTTTAAATTCTGTGCATGGTTTTTAAATACATGAATAATGCTTCCCCAGACTACCTTACTGATCTCATAAAACGGTCAGATTCTGAACGTCGTACACGATCGACGAGTAAAGAGATCTTTACCTATGGTGATCGAATGTTTAGCATTGCTGCTCCAACTTTGTGGAATGACAAACACTTGAACATTGCCATCAAAAGTGCCGAAACATAATTGACTTTAGAAAAACGTTAAAAACACACCTGTTTCAACAATCTTATCCAGAGTGAGAGAGAAATGGGGTTTAACGTCCACTCGACACAAACTAGGTCGATGGGGTCTTTAGCAGTGGGAGGAAACCGGAGGACCCGGAGAAAGAGAAAACCCACGAGGTTGGACAGGCGACCCTACTCCTTGTCACGTACAACCGGGGAATCGAAACCATGCCAGTTGACTCAATGCCAGACTTTATGGTACAGCGCGCACGTGCTAACCATTCAGCCATCCAACCCCCTTTATCCAGAGTGACATTAGAAGAAGCACTTAATGTAGATCACGCATTGGCATGGAATAGGCGCTATATAAATAATTTTATTCTTATTTATTCTAGTACAATTGTGTTGATAGTGAACAGGTTTCGTGTTTCTTGGACACTTGAGGAGGACATTCCCGATTCATTTCGCTATCATTCACAGATCTAGAACTTGTTTACGCTTTTTATTGCTTCAAAAGTTAACGGACTAATTATTACCACCCATGGTTATTTTCTATAATTTGCTGGAACAAATAAATCGGAATCAGGATGAAAATGAATTTCCGTTTTATTTCTGTTGAAAAGGGAAGCGAAGATGTAGGGCTATTACAATCACCGATCGATTAGCCAAAGTCACAATCATGCGATCGTCTGAAGAAGCCTATTGTTTAAGTAACATTTTTATTTTTTACGGACATATTTCAGTGTTGGCGTATTATGTTGTTACCCTTTCGACTTTGGTGTGAAGCATTGGAGTCATGAGGGGAATACAGGTTTTGATGGATTTTTGTTAAAATTAGGCGTGAAGCATTGAGATCATCAGATGACGAATCATATCGATATTTAACGTTCCGCGATCTCCCGTACCAGAGTCATGCCCTTTTTGCGAAAACCTTGCGTGAACGCGATATAGATGTATAACGGATATGTTTAAATTTACTGTGAAGCATTGGGAACATGAGGGGATGAACCCTATCGATATTCAGCGCTCCGCAACCTTCCGAAACCCTTGTGAACGTGATACAGGCTACAGTTTTTAATGCATTTTTTCAAACTTGAAATGAACACGATCGAGATAGGATTTCTGAAGGACCCGTTTAACAGTAGGCAAGCCTTTTCAAAGTGTAAATAATCTATGGCCTACCTGACCATGAACGCATAGGTACCAGTACCGAAAAGCAAACATTCTTACAAAATGCATGGGAGTATGACGCAAGATCTCAAAATGGCTTCAGGAACTAACAATGTCTCTATTGAAAGCAGTAAAATGAAATGGGGTTTAACATCGTACTTTTCTGCACCAACCGGACATGCGCCAAACAGTGTGCTTTGAGCAGTATTTTGCCGGGACAGCTGCGTTTCCGCCTACTTTTCGTATTGTCCTATATAATACGTCCACGCCAACGTGTACACGGAAACATTTTTTTTGGTACTATCCGAACCACCAGGCGTTGGGTTTGTTTTGCCAATTTTACAGACAAAATATTCACAAAAAAGTGGGTGTGACACCGCCCAGGGGGTCGGGGCATGCACCAAAATAAATAGCTGCTGTCTTTACGATATAAGGAATAAATATGCAAAGGAATAACTATGAAAAGTTTTAAGACGATCGATTAAGAATTGTGGCCTGTAAGCGACACACAGACAAAAAATGGGCGTGACACTGCCCTTGCGGGATGTACCTTTAAGGGAATAAGTATGCAAAGTTTCAAGATGATACGTTAAGAAATGCGTCCTGTATATGGCAAACGAACAAATACAAAAAATGGGCGTGGCTCTGTCCCTTGAGGTCGGGCATGCACCAAAAGCGACCTACAGACACAGACGTACATCCCCCCCCCCCACACACAAACACAAACAGACACACACGGGGGCGATGGCATAATACGTCCACATAATGAATGTGGACGTATAAAAATATATACACAACGTGAGTCCTGAGAAGAGAATAAGAAACGAATATAACCAGAGACAATATTAGACGATCCCCGGGCTATAAAAATATGTGGCAGAAGAGAGTATGCGTCACATATGTTTAATCTTCTGGTTGGTCAAATTTCAGTAGGCACATATTCACATTTTCACAAAGGAGACGTCTTTTGAAGTCATTCTCTGTAATATTAAAATGGGGCTGCAGTTATTCATTTGATGTGAGTATGGTTTTTGAATACGTTTTCATTTGTATCACTAACAAAAAGGACGTTTGAAATTTTGCGGGCCTGAAATATAATTAATTTTCATATCAAAACAATTATTAGGATTCAATTTTTAAAAACGTCATAAATGAATTTCTAAACTCTACTTGCTTCAACATACCAAGACTGACATTTATAGCTCATCATATTTAGTGCAAGCTTGCAGTTAAATAATACAATATTTGTACATGTTAGCGTGCAGGTAAAGGATTAACTTGAATTCTAAGAAGGGTATGAGCTAAATATCCCCCAGAGCGTATGCCCGTCCTCAATATCACTCAGAAGATGCTCACCAACGAACTAGGTCAAGGTATTGGCACTATTCACCGGTTGGAGTAAAATAAATGCTCAACATCGAATTTAATCAAAGTATACACTCAATTAGAATCAAAATTATCGGGTTCCAAAGAAGCATTGGCAAACCAAAATGCTGAGCCTAGACGACATCAGACAAGATGTTAACCTTGAGAACATACACCTAGATGTCAATCTGAAGCAGAAATATCGTATTCCAGCCTCGGATTGTAGCAGAGCTATCATATTCCAGTCTCAAATTGAAGCCGGGCTATCGTATTACATAGTCTACATCAACTGATTATCTCTCACCAACTTCTTTTACGTCTTTCATATAACGTTCATTGGTTTGTTATTCATTTTCTATCATTACAGGTCAGAGGCTTACAGCGCTGTGAACGTTTACGGATAGCTCTCGATTCCATTGCTTGCAATGTCTATGTATAGTTTGTGTTTGCAGGTTTGTCTATTAGTTTGCGTGTAGTGCTGTCCATCTGTACTTACAGTTTAAGATGGAAGGTATAGTGCTTACATAACCCAAGTATACAGTAATGTGTGTTAATGTGTATTTTTTAGGGGTTATTGATCTGTATTATAGGAGGAATACATATATATTATATTTATTTATTCGATTTTATATAATAAAACATCGAGTATTGCGTGAACATATCCGATTTCTCTTCACAGAAATATTATTTATTGGCTTGACATCGATATAAACTGTAAATGTTATGTTCTACGGGCTATTAAGGCTTTATGCGATAAATTTAAGCTTTGTTTTATTCGACTTTTCTCTCACATTTCTAGAAGCCATGGCGAGAAAATAGGAGTGATATATCAGAACGTTATTCCCTTGCAAGTTATATTTTACGGTAATTGTTAGTTTGCCCACATAGCTATCAATTGCGAGCAACTAAGGTAGTTTTTTTAAATGTAAAAACAGTTAAAAGGCACAAAAAGGAATGCCATTTGTTGAATTTCACTACACGTACAGAAATCAGGAATCGCTGTGGCTCAGTGAGTAAGACTGACCCCCTAACAGGGAGGTCCAAGTTCGATCCCGGTTTTGGCTGAGAAAGTTCACATGGATTTTTGATCATGTTTCGTTTTGTTAGTGGTGCAGGACGGAGGGTTTGGCAAAGAATAGCTTCTCGTCGTTAAGATGGGAAGAAAAACAAAGGACCCGTGTGTATATGCTTGTATGCAAGTAAAAGAACCCTTGACACAGTTGGAAATCAATTGCTGTCCGGGCAAACGGTACAGCATAGGCATTGTATGCCAGTCTTTATCAAGTTGATGCATCAGAATATAGGACGTTCAACCGTTTTGTATTCCCGCCAAAAATATGTAGAGCGTTTCGGTCATAATTGTCAAAAGCTAATGCACAGTTATTAATATCAATATATTATAGGCTGAACAAGATGCAATAACTCTGTGAAATATAAATCGATTAAGAAAAAATGTAGTTTGTCTAACAATTCTGCCCTTTGTCATTTCTCGTTGACTTTTAGTCTAGAAGCGAAAAAATGTGTTTAAATGTGTATTGTGAACGCTGGAACCAGGGATAATACCCTTGTCACCCCTTTGCGCTCTTGGACTTGAAAGCTTTCACTAAACCGCATGGTGACATCGCTGAGAATTATAAAAGCGATAGCTGGAAAATCCACGGGAACTTTCACGGCCAACACCGGGATCTAACCCGGGAACTCCGGTTTACCGAACCAGCGGTTTACTCACTGGATCATCTTCTTCTATTAGCGTTTGACGCCCGCTTCCATTTTTATTTCTATTATCTTGGCCCACGCGCATGGGTCTTTCCCTATCTCCAAGCAACTTACGCCCAAACCAGGTATGGAATCCACGACCGCAAGCATGCATTATAAAAAAAATTGGGGTCAGTAGGAGATATGACGTATTGCTTAAGGAATACTCTCAAAATGATTGTTGTTTATTACTTGTCTTCTGTATGTTTATTCGTGATGTGAATCTCCCGTACTTAATATTTGTATTAGAATACAGGCGACAGAAAGAGAGATAGAGAAATAAGATTTAACATCTACTCGCCACAACCTAGGTCATTTCGGTCCTAACATAATATGGTTCAATTTTATTGCAATAATTCGTTTGCGCGTAGGGGTCTGTAGCAGTGGAAGGAAACCGGAGGAACCGTGGAAAGGACACGAGGTTGGACACCCGACCTTTCTACTTGTCGCGTATAAGCGGGAAATCGAAACCATGCCACTTGACTCAATGACATGCCTCGTGATCTAACGCGCACACAACTCCTCCTTGTGACAGAAAAGCTATTTAACACCAATCGATGTATAAGATAATGGCTCTAATTTCAAAGAACAGTCTTCTATGTATCGAGTAGTTAAGTGGTGAAAATTATGATCTGTGAGACGGCTATTTCCCCACTGAGGTATCCGGGCAATATTACAAACCGTGAAACTTTTACAATAAATGTGATAAAGGACTGACGGAAAATGGTTGAAGGGAGGCAACTCAAACAATTTGTAAGTTCAAACGGTTGCCATGCAACATAATGAGAATATCTTCACAATATTTGATAATGTATGAACTGTTTGACCAGAAACCAATTAACGTTCGGATTTTTAACATGTTAGCATCATTATATCGTAAAAAGACAAAACAAGCCAACAGCTGGACTGATTCCCCTGCCCGAACCCTATAAGAAATAAGTGGCACGCATTAAGTACTTGCACATTTATCTTTTTAAGAAATATCTAGCAATCAAATTGTGTATCACTGTGCATAACCTACGCCGGCATATCATGAATCGATCGCATTATTACTGTTTCCAGTCGCTTTATCATATGATTGCATGGACAACAGTCAGTGTGTTAACGGTGCAAAATGCATAATAATATGTCAGCAGTTCAAAATACGTATTTTAGTTTTACAATTTGCAATTTTCATTGCTCCACAATACCACAATAAAATATAGTCTTATGATACAAGTTATAGAGCACTTTGTCACACAACCGGTTTCATGGTCAAAATGTTTAACTTTTTAAAGGAGACAGGTTTTTATTATAAATTTTGTTTATGTGTATGCATATGATTTATGATATAATTTAGCCTGTCTTGTATCATCATATATTGGCGTAATATAGCCTGATTGGTGCTGAGGTGCTTTTAAACCATTTTGCATTCTTCATTTTGGTAAGGCGAATTATTGTGTTCCAAAAAGTGTGATTGCCAGACAGACAAACCAGTCATATTTTAATGTCACCTGCTTTCTTGGAAAAACGGGGCAGAAAATAAGATATGGTCTAACACAGACACAACACAAACTAGGTCATTTTGCGACTGACGTGTTCTATCTTTCTTTGAATATTTCGTTTGCGCTCATGGGACTTTAAGCAGTGGGCGGGATTGCAGGAACCACTCTAGATTAGGCAGGGGATTCTACTCATCTCCACGAACACGCCTGTATTGGATCTGAACCGCGACTCTTTACTCATTAGCAGACCTCGTAAGTTAACCCCGCTTGAAATAAAGAATAGACTCAACTATGCATTCTGTATTTAGTTGGCCCATTATAGTTGCCTCCTTAAACTCTGGATAGTGTTGTCTCGCAGCTACTATACCTCGTAACTATTGTCGTGCACAGGGTATGGCATATACAGGCCACCACACTTACATGCATATGGAATACAATTACTGCTTATTACTGAGCGAGGATTGGTTAGGCTTCTCTCGCCATTATCAAGCAATGTTATCATATAACAAGACAATAAAATACATGTACACAACAATACTTAGGTAATGCTGACCAACCAGAGATAATGACTAGAGAAGCCTAGTCGAAACGTCGCTCAGTAATAAGCGGTAATTGTATTCCATAGAATTGTGACCTGTATAATTATTCCACCTCAATTACTAAATGCCATTGAAACAATTTAACGGGTTATGACATGCTTAATATTTTAAGAATACTAAGACTTGATACCTGTCACTAAGCTTGTCCGTTAGAGATATACCCTGTGACAGGTTCACGTATCACGTTGTGCAGTACTTTTTTTCCCTTTATATTTGGATGCGTTTTTGTTTTGCAGTTGGTGCTGCACCTCTTCTAATAGTGCACACAAATTTATCGGATGGTCAGAAATTTCTCTGTGGTCCTTATGTGGAGTAAAATAACAATGAATATATTAACCAAACCCTTGTTACTTCATGCAGTACAATGAAAACAGCACTGGACATGGGCTTAGTGTTGCGCCCAGGAACGTTTTGAATATATGACTAGTTCTTCACATTTTGGGGCTTGAATGTTCATAATTCCCTTGTTTCGGGACTTCGACCAATAGTGTTATGTAACTACGCCACATTGTCCCACCCATTTCCACGATTATTTTTACTCCTTCAAATATTTTTTTAATATATATATAAAAAAACCCCCAACTAATTTTAGTTTTTGTCGATATTAATTAGCTTTATTCTTTAATATAATTGGCAATTGTATCCATGGTATAAAACATAAAAAAAGGTATCAACGAAATTAGATAACATCTTCCCTACTTTGGTTCTTTGTTAAACGTGCGAAATAAACAAAGAAACAAAAGAGAACATGTTTATCATAAATATCGAATTTTTAATTCGAACAACAAATAGGCATTATAAACATAGAAATATCACCAGGCAAATTACATTAATAGTAACTTTTCTATTACAAAATAATATCTATAAATATAGAAATATCACAAAGCAAATTACATTTACAATATCTGTTCTAATACAACATAATATCTATAAATATATAAGTATAAAATATAAAATGTAAATATAATCTGTATTTATAATCTGAATTATAAAATTTAAATATAATCTATTAAATTCATAATAAAAACAAACAAATTTTATTTCATATTGGCATATATATCTAATATAACCATAAACATATATATGAACAATTTCAATATCTTAGTCAGAAATGCGTGGATAATTCTAGGAAAGTCTCACAATCTTGTAGTACGGCTAGATTCGCAGATCCTCCTAAATGTACTTGCACTAAATGTCACTGGATATCAAAATTCATTGATAATGTTCTATGTCACGGGGTCATAGTTTCTATATTTAATAAAGATCATGAGTCACCATCCTGTTTTCGTTTTCATACATTAGAATAGTGGATTCAATTATATCGATGACATCATAAACGTGTACAACAAACGACGGAATTACACTAGACATTGTCCGGTAGTTTTCGCGCCCTGAGTTAAACACGTACTTTATTGCGGGTAACGTTATTTTCGAGAAGTACATGTTTCTAATTTAGCGAATTACTTCGTTTATACTCCTAGTTTACAAAATATTGGAGTTTTATCACAAAAAAAGTTCCACTATCATTGTCTTTTTTTATTGTGCTTCCGGTACCTCAGGAACAACTCGTAGGCCTTCATATGGATTGATCATCGTTTTGCTTCTGATAATAGCTGTAGGTTCTGTAAATAGAAAGAAATAGGGTTAAATGAGTTGAAATTCCATCTTTGTCAAGAATTTACTTGAAAAATTCCATAAACGATTAAGAGAAAATAACGGACTCTTTTCTAAGTAAGATTTTAGGATGCGAAATAAATCCGCAAAAAATCAACGGTATGATTTCTCAATCGTTTACATTTAAATCTTTCAAATCAGCCGAGAATTTACAAAAATGAAGGGTGACAATAATTTAGAAATACTTACCACACATCATATGGAGGACGTTAACTTGAACTGTATCCATCTGTTGGTAGTTATCTATCGTCTGGACATATTGATTAACTGGAGAGGAAGCTATTCTAGACACAATCCTGGAATCTACATCACCGACAGCAACGACAAATACTTTAAATCCCTGGAACTTGGCTCGCATGGCTTCGGCCATGACTTGATTCAGATCGGTAGTTGATGCATCAATGAATACAACCATAACATTGTCTCTACCTGTTCTAGCTTCGCGGCGTACGGTCATCACCAAAGAATGCAACATGGTTTCGTCTTTGTTCATCAGCGTATTTAAGTTGTGTCTAAAGGTTTCCATACTAGAGAAGGGTATCTTTGTGTCCTTCTTGCATTTATCAGTGGTAATACCCATATGTATAGGAGCGTGCTTGTTCTGTTCGTTGGTGGTGAACCTTCGAATAAACTCTTTTATAGCAGTTCTCTCATTAATTGACCTGGTACTGGACTTATATACAAAGTGAACGTCTGTTGGGGTTATTATGCAAGGATTTTCTGTAAACGAAATGGATAAAGAACAATTATAATATTTCAATCAATATTTGAATTCTAATTTTAGTCATATAGGAATAATCTATTCAAATAATGCAAAGTTAAATCTTAAAAACTGTATTTTTAAAAACTAAAATAATGGCCCCAGCGATTAGAACAGAAATTAATGATAGAAAAAACTTACTTTCAACGTCAACGTCTTTTGGTACCTCGGGAATAACTTCACAGGCTTGAACTGCTAGAAGATTTCGTATAGAAGATAAAGCTCCATAATTTTCGACATTGAAAACAAATTTCTGGTTGGGGTCACTAGCAATATCTTCCAATTCCTGTTGGTCGATATAAGGGCCTACACCAATTGAAAAGATATTGGCCCCTGCTTTCTTTGCTTCGGCGGCTTCCCGTCTAGTGGCCCGGGGATCTTTTGAAATACCATCAGTGATTACTACCATAACATGAGCAGCATCTGTCCTAGCCGAACTAGCCCTTTTTCCAAATCCAGTTTCCCTAACATACTTAATGGCGTCAGCTGTATTGGTTCTGCCGCTCATATATTTTACAGTTTCGGGTTGGATAGCATTGAGTAGGCTTTCGCGGTTGCTGAAAGATTTTAAACCAAATACTGGTTTGACAGTATCAGAATAGATCACCAATCCAACTCTGGCTAGAGTTGGAGCAATTTCGAATGTATCCACGACATCACGAACAAATGTTAGCATTCTAAAATTGAAATCTTCAATCCAAACGCTGCTAGAGGAATCCAATACGAAATAAATATCAGCTGGTTTACCACCACAATCTGAAACAAAAAAACAATTTAAAACTATGGAAGTAGTCCCCAAATCACAATGTAAATACTGAATATCAAAGACATTTCTGAACTTTACGTTCCACAGGGTAGACTTTATTTTCCCACACAACGGTTTGGTATGCTTACTCTTTGTAACATACACGGGGAGTTTATAGCTAACCATTTTCGCTGTGTTAAAGAACATAATACAATTGTAATATATACTTACATGTGGTGTTCGCTCTTTCGTCGTTCACGACGTTCTTTGGTGTCGTCTCCTCAACCGCTGGATTGGGTGTGGAGGACATTGGTTTTTGTGTAGTTGATGTCGTAGTTGACTTCGAGGTAGTCGTGGTTAGTTTCGGCGTCGTTCGAGTAGTAGTGCTTGTAGTTGGTTTTGTTGTGCTGGTGATTGTTGGTTTTGTTGTGGTTTTTGTTACTTTTGTTGTGGTTGGTGTTACTTTTGGAGTGGTAGTTAGTTGCCGCTTGGTAGTTCTGGTAGTTGGCTCTGGTGTGGTTGTTGTTGGTGTTTGTGTAGTTGAAACTATGACTGTAAGAATAAGGAATACATGAATGATAAACAATGTTTCAATCGTGACATAACTGAACGTATATTTATGTCAACATTAATATTTCTGGTTTGGGAAAAAGGCGAGGAGAGCTATCATTGGTATCATTATGTAATTGGTTACTTGCTTACCTTCACACGTTCTTTTAGAAAATGGATTCCTAATAGACTTTAACGATTGGAAATCATCTAGTTCAAATACAAACAAGTCTGTTGGTTCACTTGCCATATCATTCAGTTCCTGTACTTTTACTTTCGCACCAACCCCAATGGAAAATATGTTGATTCCTGCAGCTTTGGCCTGGTTTGCAGCAGCTCTGGTTAATTCTGGCTTGTCTGATTCACCGTCGGTTAGAATAATCATAACATTTTGGACGTTGCTTCGAGACCCATGTTCTGGAGTATACATCGTACTGGTGGCATACTGCAAGGCTTTGTTGGTATACGTGTTACCAGTGGTGAATCGGATACCTTCGATACCTTTCATAACGGATTCTTTTGAGAGAAACTTGTTCAGGTGAAACTGTAGATGATAGTCATTGTTGAACGTTACAATTCCGACTCTGGTATCATTCTCACCGGGACCAACGTCAAACATGTTGACAACGTCTTTGATAAACGGTATGACATACAATTCATAGTTTCCAGGCCAGATGCTACTAGACGAATCTACAACAAATACCATATCCACTGCATTCTCTACGCATTTTATTTCTTCTGGAATAAGATAATATAAAACGATTTATTATTGATAAATATAATACACTTCTATATTTTGAACCGAATTTCAATGTCAGAATTACTAAGAAATTGTGTGATTGACATTAAAAAACAACACAAAAACAATGAGACCTACCAGCTTGAACGTATGCAAGAAATGCCAAACAAATCACCGAGATAGCAAACTTCATTTTCAGATTTCCAGAGGTTCCAGTTTTACGACTGCTTGACAACTGATTTTAGATTGGTAACAAAAGACTTTATATACAAATTTCATTGTCGTAAAGGAAATGTGTGTGAACTAGTTCTTAAGTGGAACAGTTTAATTCATAAATAAAGATCCGGAAAGAACTATCATAATTACACATATTGGACACCCACGAAGCAGAACTGACCAATGGGATGTAAGTTAAAACTTCGAAGGGGAAGAATCATGCCCATATTTGTAAATTATTTGTAAATGCGTTTATTTGGAAAGGAAGATGAAAGATTATGTTGAACTAGTGCAGCCCACAGTTGAGTAATACTATGATCTTATCTCAAACAATGGTGTAGTGTGAGTCGTAGATGAGATTTGGGTGATGATCTAGTGAATTATGCGTGGGCTCTATTCATCTATACAGAAACGTGGCTCTGCATATGATGTGAATTACATAACCTATTTCCCACGAAATGCGTATAGTTGTGAAATTAGACATATTATACCCATATATTAAGGTCAAGAAGGTGTGAAAATTGTTTAATAATGGACTACATGTATAAAGGTTAATCTATTTAACCTTGAGAATATTCATCAATATTGAGATCTACTGGTCTCGTGAATCCAATCGAATTTCTACGAAAGTTCGGGAAATTATTGAGACCGGATTGAAAGTAACGGGCCTTAGATTGTTACAATGTTTGAATTATTAGGCAATAATTATACACTACAATGGTTAAATAAGTAGAAAATCATTTTTAATCGCATAAAACTATTTCTACATTTTTAGGACCATGAAGCTTGGTTTGTTATAGGGACCTTTTACAATTAGCGCAGGGGTCTGGATTATTATTATTATTATTACAGCATATTTATAGTGCGCCCTTTCATATAAAATGTTCAGGGGCACTTTACAAAGTGACAATGTAATCATAAATAAACAACAAGATTATGGACATGTTAACGATTGTATACAGACTCAGTTAAAAGCCTGATTAAATAAATGTGTTTTAAGTTGTTTTTTAAAAGAATATAGAGATGTACGACATCTTAAACTAAATGATGGTAGATTATTCCATAAAACAACTGCTTGATAACTAAAAGAGCGCTGACCATAACAGACTGGTTAAAAGTAAGTAATAAAAACTTAAAATCAATTCGATATTTATCAGGTAACCAGTGTAAATTATGTGGTCGCATTTCTTAGTTAAAGTAACAAGTCTAGCTGCAGTATTTTGTACATTTTGTAATTTATCTATAATCTTTAAAGGTAAACCAACTAAAAGTGAATTAAAGTTATCTAATCGAGAAGTGACCAGATAATTAACAAGTGATTTAATGGCCTCTACGGTTACAAATTTGCCTATATTTCTGATATTAAAATAGCACAATTTACAAATATTATTTATTTGAGCTCCCATAAGCATAAAACTATCAAAGGTTGCGCCAATATTACGGGCAGAATAAGATGACAATATATCACAATTACCAATTACAACATGGGGGTTATCATGTCCAAATTTACTTAATTGATGCCCTGAGCCTAATAACAAATATTCGGTTTTATCATCATTCAATTTTAGAACGTTCTTTGACATCCACTTTCTAATTTCACTAATACAGTTCTCAAGTTGCAATTTTGATAATTTGAAAGAAGATGGACAATTAGGTGTAAATGAATATACTTGAGTATCATCGGCATACAAATGAAAGCTGAGAACATATTTTCTGACAATATCACCTAATGGTGACGTATAAAGCCTTGGGGCTGATCCGTGAATTAATACAAATCCCCACACTCGTCAAATTCAATAGGAATTTAATTTCTAAAACTACATGTATATGTTAAAACTATGTACCCGACAATGAGATTTTTGAATTTCATCTTCAGAACAAAGGTATAACGTTAAAGAAGGCTATTCGAATTCTCTCTTTACAGAGTGATGGGTGTATATGCAAAGAACAATATCTGTATGTTAAAATTATATGTACCCGAATAAGGGAACTCTATGTACCATATTCTCAAAGATTATGATTAGTTCCTGGTCGGAGCCACGGTGGCTAGGTGGTTAAGACGCTGGCTCGCTAGCCTGGAGGTCGGGTGTTCGATCCCTGCATTGGCCGAGAAAGTTCATCCAGATTTTCCGACGTGGTTTCCCCTTGTCAGTGGTGCAGAACGGAGGGCCTGACAAGGACAGCTGTCTAGTCTTTCGGATGAGACGAAAAACCGAGGTCCCGTGTATACATTAGAATGCACATAAAAGATCCCTTGGCAGTTGAAATCTGATATAAGAGTAGGCGATAGTGCCGCCGCCCGGGCAAAATTTCCCTCATAGCACACTGTATGGCGTATGCCCGTCTTCATTAGCCCAGTATTTGAGCAGAACGATAGGACGTTAAACCCCATTCATTTCATTTCATTTCATTTCAGTTCCTGGTCCATAGTGCGCTAGTACTTGTTGACTTTGATATAGCGCCCATTATCACATCTTTGATGGGTTCAATGGCGCTGTACATGAACAATATATTATATACACCCATATCTGGTGATAACTAATCCATGTGATATTAAACTGGATAATCTCTCTGTCTCGGACAAATTAATATCTGATCATTTCTCGGCAAGTTTTAATCTTAAGATCCAGAAACCACAACCAACAAGAAAGACTGTAACATATCGAAGGTTTAAATCACTTGCCACTAATAAATTTAAAGCGGAAATAGTGAACTCGAATCTCAATGACACCCAACGTATTCAAGATATACAAGAGAAGGCAACCCAATATAACTCTAAGCTTGCTAAAATTTTGGACTCACTTGTGCCTCTTCAAACGAAAATATTTACTATTCGTCCCAATACGCAGTGGTTTAATGATTCTATTTTAGAAGCCAAAAGGGGCCGTAATAAGGCTGAATATCCGTGGCGGAAAACACAAATTTTAATCTATATTTTCATAAACAGATTTATAAATCTTTAAAAAAACAATGTGAATAAATTAATTGAAGACGCTAAAATTAAATTTTACTCTGATACAATTTAAAATGGCGAAAACAGACAAAAAGACCTGTATAAAGTTGTGAATTCCCTTTTGGATCATAATGCTGAGCGGACTATTCTCCCGAACAATGATAATGACACTGAATTTGCGAATTTGTTCTCCGATTTCTTGTACATGTATATCATCCTCTACTATTCCCAACGTTTTCAAACAAGCTTTTGTTACCCCTTTAATTAAAAAGTCTGGATCCTAATGTTTTATTTCTAAAATATTGGAGAAATATATTGCTTCTCAGATAAAGGCCCATCTAGGTGATAACTGTTTGTATGAACCATTTTAAAGTGCTTATAAACAATTCCACAGTACCGAAACAGCTTTAACCCGGGTTTCAAATGATATTTTAATGGAAATTGATAATAGAAAAGGTACATTTTTAATTTTGTTAGATTTATCTGCTGCTTTCGACACGTAGATTTCAATTTAAATTCGGTATTTGTGGCTCTGCAATAAATCTTTTAGAAAGCTATCTTGTGGGTAGAAAACAGTGTATTTTAGTTAATTGTAAATCGTCGACTCAATCTGTTTTGTAATCTGGGGTTCCCCAAGGTTCTGTTCTTGGGCCGATTTTATATACCCTCTATACGTCACCATTAGGTGATATTGTCAGAAAATATGGTCTCAGCTTTCATTTGTATGCCGATGATGCTCAGTTACATATTTCATTTACACCTAATTGTCCATCTTCTTTCAATTTATCAAAATTGCAACTTGAGAACTGTGTTAGTGAAATTAGAAAATGGATGTCAAAGAACTTTCTAAAATTAAATGATGATAAAACCGAATATTTGGTTTTAGGCTCATGGCATCATTTAAGCAAATTTGCACATGATAACCCCCCTGTTGTAATTGGTAATTGTGATATATTTTCATCTTATAAGTTTTATGCTTATGAGAGCTCAAGTAAATAATATTTGTAAATTGTGCTATTTCAATATCAGAAATATAGGTAAAATAGTAACTGTAGAGGCCACTAAGTCACTTGTTAATTCTCTGGTCACTTCTCGGTTAGATAACTTTAATTCACTTTTAGTTGGTTTACCTTTAAAGCTTATAGATAAATTACAAAAAGTACAGAATACTGCAGCTAGACTTGTTACTTCAACTAAGAAATGCGACCACATAACTCCTGTTTTATATAATTTACACTGGTTACCTGTTAAATATCGAATTGATTTTAAGATTTTATTACTTACTTTTAAATGTTTAAATAATTTAGCTCCTGTTTACCTCTCAGATCTTTTCGAACTTTATACACCTGGCCGAACATTACGTACATCAGATAAACTACTTTTAAAGTCCAAAACTGTTCAACTAGTCTCTTATGGTCAGCGCTCTTTTAGTTAAGTTATCAAGCACCTCTTTTATGGAATAATCTACCATTTAGTTTAAGATGTTGTACATCTCTGTATTCTTTTAGAAACAACTTAAAACACATTTAGTTTAAGATGTTGTACATCTCTATATTCTTTTAAAAAACAACTTAAAACACATTTATTTAATCAGGCTTTTAACTGAGTCTGTATACAATCGTTAACATGTCCATAATCTTGTTGTTTATTTATGATTACATTGTCACTTTGTAAAGTGCCCCTGAACATGTTATATGAAAGGGTGCACTATAAATATGCTGTAATAATAATAATAATAATAAAACATTGTGCATGGAGGAAGCGCCGTTTCCGGAAATACTAGTGTCCGGCACAATATGACATCAGGAAAAAATGAAAGGATGTTTAACGCCCTACTTTTTGGACCAGGAACTGATCGCTAACCGCTGCCCATCTTCTTCTTCTTCTTGGGGTAACGCTCTTAGAAAAAACCTAAGGCTCCGTCAATTCAAGTCCGATGGGCATGAATGAAAATTGGCATGAAAAAGCGTAACACAACATGGAAAACAATCACTGGTTTATACAAATATAGCACGGCGTTTCCACAAATATTCTCTTATCGGTTTCAAGTACAAAT